CATTTTTTTGCGAATAACTCTACTGCGACTGTCACCAACACAAACTCCGAATCGGGCCTCATCACTCTATTGTATTGCACACCATTGTTGAGGTGTCCATTGTCTATGTTCTTTAGTCCATCTAAGCCGATTTTTCTTTTGCAGTGGAGTTAATAGTGGCTTTTCTTTGGCCTATAAACAAGTTGTGCAACTTTAGGGTTTTTACTTCACTTTTTTTATAAGAAAACTTACCTTGCAAGTGCTAAATCCCAGTTTGTGGGCCTCTCTATGGGTTGTGGACCTCGAAATTCTCCTTCCAACAGCGTCACTCGACAGAGCACTTAATTGTAAATAATTGGCACGCCTGTTTTTCACGATTATTCTTCTTAATGCTCTTCGGTCGGCATTTGTGATATTACTTTTTTCACATATCGTGGTTTAATATTAACTGAACCAGTTACGTTATATCTTCTAACAATATTTCTCACACTGTACCGCGATAAGTCTAAAAAATTGAATTATCAGTAACCGAATTTTCTCACTAATAACCTTTCCTCTACCCATTTTGAAAACCTTAACTACCCAAAACTATTTTAAACGTATTCTGAAAGCTGTGATTAATAGAAACAATTGTCATGGCTTTTATTTTTTACAGCCACGTATGCGTTATAGACTTATGTTGCATTGAAATGAAAATAGGTTGATATGCTGTAATTGCAACATGTGTTATTTTTATGCTGCAAATTTGATTAGGGAGTGATAAAGTTGGTGTTTTCTACTATATATTTTCAAAATATTCATTGTTAATATTTTAAACCTATAACACCCTGCTACATTTTTATTATTTGTGTTTGATAAGAAAAAAACTAAGATTTCAATAGTTGGGCCAACTGAAGTGGGAAGGGGCTCGTACATTTCGAGCGGGAAAATTTGATAGAATGCTTTTATAACCTGAGAGCGAGTACAAAAGCATCCCTTTGATTAAGCAGTGTGATCAAAGAAGAGCACTTTACATTAAGCCACATTTCAAACAAAAAAGAAAACCACAATCGGTTCATCCATTTAGCAGCTACACGTTGCACAAAAACGTCTATACATGTCAAAGCTACAACAGCCCTCTTCAGTGGTCGCAAGAGAAACATAGCTGTGGCAAATTCTCATACAAGATACTACGGCATCTCATTTTATCTCGGATTTGTGGTACGTGGGAATTTAGTATTATAGTTCAACATTAACATAAGTATGTAATACCACAACGGCATCTGATTTAAAAAAAAAATCGAAAAAACACGTTGCTAAGTAATATTTTAACAAGAAGCATGGGTGCTGGTGGCAACAAAAGTCCGAGTCGAAGACGAGAATTTTCAACCTGCACGAATGTTTTTTGATAAAAAAATATTAATTTGCATTGTGTTTCGATTTTTTCAACCCAATGGTATTTGATTAGGCTATTTCATGATATGATTTTGCATACACATAGCTTACAAAATTTATTGACAATAAAATTAGAAAAATTGTTTAGCGTCGTTTTCCACTGTCCTAAGAGACCATAATTACTTGTTATCAAACGTATTGTAATTTTTGGTGACACGAGCTGTCAAGTTTTGCTGCGGGTAAGCTCGAAAGAACTGCTGACAGGTGCTGTCATACAATTTTTCCATCTAGAAACCATTTGTAATTCAAAATTACGTGTTTGTGATTGGTAGAAATTAAGACGAGGTAAACAGTGGATAACAATAAACAATCGTTACATCCTTAAACAACCGCATACTGCCAGTCCAACCCTTCACATGTCCGCCTGTAGCCGCTGTTTGTTTTAATAGAGGCGATTGGCGGCACGCGTCGCCACGTGACCTTTACCCCCTACCGCCCTTCCCCCGCCCTTCTCAAGTCCCCATCAACCACGCCAGAGACTGCAATTAAAAGGGCTTTAGATTCGTTCGTTGGCGGAACTTATTTTGCTAGCAATTGACAGGTTGATTGGTTCAATTTTGCTCGGAAGGCGAACTACTAACAGGTCTAGATTATTAGGAGGAATAATAAATTACATCAGTATCGGGATGTTGTAAAATAGAACATTACATGCCTAAGATGAGAAGTGAGCCATTATCGTGCGAAATCAATAATGGCCTTTTCAAACGAGTCATGTATAATTTTTTATTACTAATACCACAGGATAATGGCGCAAGAGTCCACATGAATGTTCTGAAGAACCACGTGCTGGATATGGTCACTGATGGTTTTTATATGCAACGTACAGCGCGTAGGAGGATTTAGAGGAAGAATATAATAGTTGGTAGATCAATGGACTCGGGAGGTTGCCCCTTCAAAGCACCAAGCCCACCAGTACGCCATAGAATTTATCTGTCTAGAATGGATCCCCTTTAGCACTATGCACCACCTGCCTTAGTAGAAGCAATCAATGCAAAGCATTCTACACATTATGCTTCATTCAAGATAGTTGTAACTGCCAACATTTTTGTGGACTGTTTTCCACTGAAAAATAACTTCTGCAGTTAACTGGTATAACGACAGGTTGCGTCAGTTGCGGAAGAAGACGATTGAACTTAAAACAATATTTAACGCTACTAGATACGTAAAGAGCTTGAAGTGAGTCGAAACATTGATAGGAGGAAAAAATAATTGTTACGCTAACATAATTGAAAGCTGAAATAATATAAATAAATCTATCTGGAACATTGTCAATGCGGAAAACAAAAACAAACTACTAAAACCCGTTTAACTTCAGAAGCAAACATATTCTTCACATCTCCGGATAACAAAATAGTAAATCCTGTAATTATGATGCAGAATAATACTTAGAAAAAGTAACCATGCCATATTTTCCATTTTTCATTGATCCAACGCTTCCTCAAGATGTCAGGAAGACAATTTACTCATTAAAGATTCATATTTTTTAGATTATTATGGACTAAACAGCGCCATCTTGAAGAGTTGTGTGGATCTTTTAGCAGAACCACTAGCTGTTTTGCACAGTAAACGTATACAGGAGGGTGTTTGGCCCTATGCTTTAAAAAAATCGAAAATAATATCAGTCTAAAAAAGGAGGCAGTGACTCCCCTGGCAAATATAGGCCGATTGTAATTATCGCTTTAATCGGTAAAATATTTGAGATCATTTTGAAAGAAAAGCTAACTAACTATTGAAAAAAATCAATGTTTTCTGACTTACAAATTGGATTTCGGAAAAACTCCACCACTATCAAAGCTTGAGGAAATATTTGACAATACTACTGACAACCACATAGGTACTATGGTTGCTATGCGCGATTTAACAAAAGCTTTTGACTGCGTTAGTATGCAGATACTTCTTAGGAAATTTGAATACAAATGGTGTACCGCAGGGCTCAGTGCTTGGCCCAGTACTGTTGTTTATCTACATCAACGATCTGCCCCCGAATATTATCAATGGCTCGTGTATTCTATTCGCTGATGATATTCATTTAGATCTGTTCTCGGATGTGGAAAGCTTGGAACAGGCTACACGTTAGTTTCTTGCTAAAAAAAAGTCTCTCAATGAAAGCAAAACCCACCATACAACTTTTTCATCTGACAGTTGGGTATCAAAGTCAGTACCAGTAAAGCTCAGGTGTACCTACTTAGACAAAAATCCAATGTCTTAGTGGCCATACACTGAGGGTTGGGTATTTTAGCATCTTTCACAATCACCTATCATATGGTATCGTGCTTTGAGGTAACTCCGTTACTGCAAACAGAATTTTCATATTGCAGAAGTTGTAATGGAGTGAGTAATGTGCAAATGTTTTTTGGTTTGATTTTCCTCCTGGTAACACTGAAAGCCATTTTCCAATATTATGCGGCTTATTGAGGCCCAACATTGCTCATTCCTCAAATTGTTTTCAAATATTTCGAAATATAAAATAAAAATCTGTTATCATTATGACATAACAAAATTAACTGAATACACTATTCATTATTTACATAGGTGCTTTTTATTATTTACATCTGGAAGGAGATACTCCTAATTACAGGATTGTGCTCAATAATGACGATTTCTCCTGATAATCAGTAAAAAATGGATGAACACGTCTGGCATCTGGAGAAAACAAAAATCGCCTCTAAAAATCGAATTATCAGAGGATATGTTGATCACGAAAGAAAACAGAATGGAGCCAAGTAGATCAACTCACTACCTTTCAGGCACTCAAGTGTATCTATTTGCATATTAGATGTACATACTAACACTCAATTTTAAAGCTGAATGATAATGAGAGGTGAGTTCAGGTAACAATAAAAGCTAGATACGCAGATATTCTTTCTAAATGATCAGCATCTTAAAAACCGACGATTTAAAAGTCTTTTTGTTTATTGCTTGTAACCCTGGCGCCACTGCACCAATCTTTGGGCAGCATTATCTATCAATTATGACATCAAAATCAAAGTACATAGCTTTCATATATGTAATTTGTTCTGTACATACATCATATAACCACAGTGTCGACATTTCTTATGATATTTTCCATGTACACCTACTCATTTCGTCCCAAAGAAAATGACAGCATTTTAGACAAAAAGGTCAAACATTAAGATTTCTACTTATTACACAAATCAGTTATCGCATTTGGGGTAACTGCAATCCTGCAATCCAGGCATTAATGAAGAGATAAACTGCAGGCCTACGTAATGTGCTTTGTGAGAGATATTATTTATCTTATTAATCATTTGACTTGTGTATATCAACTTGAGCCTGTTGGTTTTCTGCTTTAGATGTAGTTTATCAGATTTCTCCAAAGCAGCCCACTTTTATACATGAATTTCCATCAAATACAAGTCCTATGGAGTTGTGTCCAACAGCTAGAAAAGTTTACAGAATGATGAGCAAAGATTTTTGACATTTCAAACAATCAGCGTCTTCTATGTAGTTTAAATAAACCAGTCAGAAATCGCGCGAAGCTAACATTACAATTTTTAAGATGGCACCGCGCAAAAGCAACAAAGCGCAGGATCGCCTGTGGTAGACATTCCGATAAAAAAATAAATGTTTATACCTTAGACGAGGAAAGAGAGTGGAGTCGTAACGCGCATTCACAGACCGGCCCAGTAAGTGTGCCCAATTATTGAAGAGACGCCATTATTTGGGTCCTATTCTTGAAACCGACTCCAAGCCTTTTTTTCTGTGTTTCTGTGCTATTGTGTATTAAAGACTGCGACTTTTTTATTCAATAAGAATGGTGTTGTGCTCGGCTTTTAGTTGCAAAAATCGCAGTGAGAATAAAGTGCCAGGAATAACCTTTCACAGGTAAATTTTTTAGTTGTATTGATAACGTAAATACCTTAATTACTTTATAACTCCATTTTAAACGACTGCAACAATATTATTTCAGTGATATAAGTACTACTTCACTTGAATGCATAATTTAAATTAGTTATAGCCATGTGTTTCATTCAGGATTTGTTTTGAATTTATCAATTTTATATCACTATTATGATTGAATGGCGGTCATTTGCCAGTGGCGGGTGTGATATTTTTTTATTTATTATATTTTCAAATATGTTCAATCTCAAGTTAGTTTAGTATTGTTGTCATTGTATTTCAGGTTTCGTCTTAAAGATCCAACAAGAAATGGTATCTGGCTGATGAATATGCATCTAGCTGACTGGTTTCCCACAAAAAATAGTAGGATCTGTTCAAAGCATTTTGAAATCCATGCTTTTTACAAAGTTGGAAACAGAACCTCTCTTTTGGATGATGCAGTCCCTACAATCTTTGAAGAACTTCCAAAACACCTACAGACTAAGGTAATTTAACACAACCCAACATAATAAGAAATTTACAAAACAAATTATTCATTTACTCAGTTCACAGAGAAATTCTACCAATAATTATTATAATCTGAAATAAAAATGAAAATACTAATTAAGTTGAGGACTAATTAATGTAATTGAGATATATTTGATTGCAGGTAACAAAGAGACCACATCCAAGATCTAGACAGCTTATTACACCTACAGCTTCGACATCTAGGAAAAATGATCCTCCCCAAGAAGATCCAGACACCCCCAGAAAGAAGCATCCTAGAAGACAGCTTTTTGCAGAAAGGGTAAAGAGCCAAGAGAAATCGAGAGAAATAAAAGTTTTGAATCAGCGGGTGAGAAGACTGAAAAGACATATTGTTTCTCTCAAACAAGTAGTGAAAGCCTTAAAACAAAATAATTTGGTATCTTCTGAAAGCTCAGTTCTGCTTGAAGAATGCCAGAAATTACCAAAGAATTACAAAAGCGTAAGTTGGGAAAAAAGCATCAGTATTCTCCAGAACTGCGAAAGTTTGCAATTACTTTGTGTTTTTTCTCCCCAAAAGGATATGATTATGTACGAAATGCTTTTGAAACCAACCTGTTTACCCCATAGAAGCACTATAGGAAAATGGTTTAAGACCATTAATGCTGAACCAGGTTTCTCTAGTGAGGCAATTAATGTTTTGAAGAAAAATGTAGAATATTCGGATAAGCCTGTACTATTAAGCCTCATTATAGATGAGATGTCCATTCGGAAGCATCTTGAATGGGATGGTAGAAAATTTCATGGATATGTCAATTATGGCATTGATTTAGAAGATGATTCTAACTTTATGGCCAAAGAGGTATTTGTTATGATGATTGTTAACATTAATGGAACTTGGAAGCTGCCAGTTGGCTATTTCCTTGTAGATAATTTGAATGGAAATCAAAAAAGTGTACTTGTTTCACAGTGCATACAATTAGTTTCTGCTACAGGAGCACGAGTTGTATCGCTTACATTTGATGGTGCTCCTTCAAATATTGCAGTGGCAAATACTTTGGGAACCAATAATTTTTATGACTCATTAAAAACACATTTTTCTTTAGATGGTAACAACATTTATGTTTTTTATGATCCAAGTCATATGATAAAATTAATAAGAAATGCTTTTGGGGAAAGAAAACTACTAATAGATGACAATGGGAATTTCATTAAGTGGGAATTTATAGAAAAACTGGAATTTTTTTATTTTTATATTGATTCTAATTATTTTCAATAAAATATCTCAGTTCATACTGAATGTTCATTAAAAAAAAAATATTCAATATAAAATAACAATAAATATCTTATATATTATTTTTAAATCACAATATAATATGTGCAATCAACACACTCAAGTTATGTTATTCATTTTGAACAAATATGCTCTCAATAAAGGCATATATGATTATAATCATGTTTACCAATAAGTGAAATTTACACTGTAATAATTATAATTAAAGTACCATAATATTATAACGCTATGTCATACTCAATAAATGTTTCTGTGTAAACTACATGTTTATTTTTTATAAAAAAAAGGGAATATACCTACTCTGCGTGAGATTTGACACTTTCATAAATGAAATAATTTATTTTTTAGTTATATTGCTCAATATTTATTGGGTGTTTAGTATTTTTATGGAATACTTAGTCTGTTGTTATGCTTTCACATAAATTAACTAGAAAATGTATTATACAATAAAATATAGATCATTCGATTTGTTCTATTTCATTTTTATAATAAAATATTATTAATGAAAAAACTTGTTGAATCTGTGGTATTAGAAATTACCGATAAAAATATACTTTGTAAATAATATAATAAATTTACTTTTTTCTACGAAGAAAGTATCATTTTTCTTCCGTTTTTTTTTAGATATTTCAAATTGAAACTATAAAATAGACAAATACTAAGCGTCACTCAAGTGCAAAATTTATTTCTGTAAGATGGTACTGAACCCAGGCGATACGCCCCTGGATTGACAGCCTGGAGTCTGACTGGGCACACTTTTAAAGCGGACATGGCGTGTCCTCTCTCTTTCCTCGTCTAAGGTTTATACGTTGGTATTTGGGTTAACCAAAATGGGTGCTTTATAAAAATAAAAACAGAGAACTTAGCTGCGTTGTAGTGACTTGTGATAGAACGTGGCGTGTCCTGCGTAAATCAATAACCTCAATGTTCAGAAAAAGCGAAAGTTTTTCAATCTTCATGTAAGTTGAATTTTCACTTGTGGTTTCATCTAAGTGAAAATATTACCACGCATTTTAACAACAGCTTCAGAAGGTGGTAATTTTTAAAAGTTTTGCAGTATTTTTAGGCTCATGTAAGTGGTTAATTGCAACGATCTAGTTGCATTTCAGGATATAGAACACAGAAAGGAACTCACAAAAATAAACGAAGTGAATATAACAAGTATCAAAAACAACAAAAAATATAAGAGCACAATGGCATGTGGAGGAAAGATTTGAATGAAACAGTGAAGAGGCTGCAAGCTTTCGTTTTGAGGTGGTGTATACCCTACTGCATCATATGTTGTTATCCCAAATGAACTATGTGCTGAGTTGGTAGCTATGAGCCCCCTCAGGGTGAGGTTCTTTATACTTTGGTTTTTGGATGCAATAGTTATTTGGGCGCCACCTAGTTTCCAAAAACCAGGAAATGAAATAACAACAAGTATCACTGTTGGAATTCTGATGTTGAAAGAAATACCAACTCACAAGGTACACAGACATTTATTGGACAAAGAAAAACAAATAAATAAAAATAAAAAAATTAAGGAGAAGTCTTGGAGGACAGGATAACAAGAATGAATTTATGTATTACCCCCTAGCTAAATGATTATCAGAAAATAACTAAGATTAAAAAAACTCTCCGAACGGCTACCGTTGGTGGGAAGTATCAGATGTTACCTTAAAACCGGAGGGTAAAATGGGAGGGTAGAGCCCTCTAACAATGAGGATTCTCCAAAAATGGGGGAACTGCCCCTCCCAGGCGTGAGTCCCACTCAAACTCGCCTTGGACTAACCCTGCAGGCAGTCCTTGAGTGTAATTATCTGCACGGTTAAATCCCCAAAAGGGTAAGAAAAAAGCTCGGACACTAGGAACCACCAAGGGAGCCAATTTCTTACGAAAACTACCCCAGCACCCTTTGAATCCGCAACTCAGAGTGTGAACTATTCACGGAATCGGACAGTGGGCCGCAGACAAATTTCTCCACCAGAGCACCGGAAATAGCCCCAAGTCACCGTCAGCTCTCGTATTTACGGCTGACAGAAATTGTAAAAAATGACTGTAGTAGTCTTTTCGTCTTCCTTATTAGTAACAGAATTATTAGAATTTTCACTTCGAAAAACATCTTTATGTTGACACGCAAACATAGCGCTTCCATTGCCTCACTTGGTAATTAGTGTAATTATGTTACGATTTTATCGAATCAGCTTGACCAACCCATGAGGTAGTAGTGAATCATCTGGATAAACAATTGTAATTGTTATCATTGATGTGGTCAACGCACATCATGATCTGGCCAATAGATAATAATGTTTCATGAAATGCTTAATCATTTCATTAAAAGGTGCGGTTTGGTGACAACAGTTACAAACTCTACCCGATAATATGAAGGTAAGAAAGACAAAATGCTTCTTCACTCACCTCTTCTATTGTCTAGTCCTGATGGAGGAGGCATATTACTGTACATACCCGGTTGTTTCGCGTGATGGTTTACCATTCTATGCCCGGCAGGGTCTAAATATGCTCTGAAAACAACAATACCAGCATTAAGCGGAACTTTTAGTAGAAAAAAATAATCCTAGGCTAAGTGTGCCCAGACACCGCCTTTTCATAACTTGACCACTACAAAAAAAACTTGTTTGTGCAGTGTTTACAAAATGGGTCAACTGTCATTTACAACAGAGTTCCTGTTAGAGTAACTTTGTTTCAAAGTTATTTGTTATAGAATGCCTATAGTGGCATATGCCTACCTTTGAGTTGCAGGTGCCATTCCGATTTGAGGTCTCCATCTCCTGTTCTGATCGGGTGTCAAGTCTTCAGGTTTCAGCACTTTAGGTGGATCCTTGGCGCCTTTGAGTTTTCTAGCTGGAAATACGAAACCTCTGGCATATTTGGGGTCGCGAAACCTCACGCAGCATACTATGTTGTCCGTCAAAGGTGCCAAATCTTTTACGGGCGACTCCAAAACGCTGAAAGAAAACACGTTTTGAATACACAATATTCTTTCAATCTTGATAAATTTCAGCAAGTGCACAATGGCTGCCTTGCCTGGAGCGTTAGTATCAAACTTCAATAAGGTGGAAAAAGGAAAAGACAACATGGAACAAGACAAATATATATATATTATATAACATATCAAAATAAAAGCATCAGCCTAATAAAGGTTTGTCAGTTTTACGCTTCAGTTTTACATTACTGTTTTCCTCATTTTGGCACCTCGTCTCCCGATAAATTCATTTTTTCTGTGACGGGAAAAAAGTTTGATATTTTATTTCTGTTGACAAGTAACAAAATACCACTTTTTATGAAATGATTTTTTCCCCCGGGAAAAAAATGAGTACTTTTTCCCGGATATTGAATACGCGGTTTCGTAAATTTTCCGCGATTTAACTGGAAATCATTTTTGTGACTCGGAGTCAGACATTTTTTACTTCATAGTATTAAAAATAACTTCTAAACAATCACAAAGTGTACAATTTTTAAATCAAATGGCAACATTAAATTGACCGCTATTTGATTACTTTAAAAGTTTCCTTAGAAACGCAGGTCTTATTATTAGTATTATATATTGTAAGTACAACATAGCCTACTAATTTCAAAATTCAAATTTCACATCGATAATTTTCTGACTTAAATATTGTAATAACATAATTTTTCAATATAAATCGTCATTTTCCAGTCACCGAAAAAAATTGTGTATTATACACGGGGAAAATACCAGATTTTAGCATTCGGTTTACAACATCAATATAACTATTTATCAACATATAGCTCTTTCCAGGGTATCTTAAGAAAATCCGCATTTTTCCACACCTACAGTATGCAGTAAGTCTTCTCCTTTTCCCCCTTCAATGAAAAATGATGACAGATAAAAAGGCAACCCTGCTGTAATCTATTCTGCAATTATTTAAATTCATAGACATTTTATAAAAAAAGATACTTGCAGATTCAAGTGGCCGGATCTTAGACTATTAAGAAGCTGTCCACATGGCGGATCTGTCAAGGCACAGCGTTGCCAGATGGATTGGACAGAATTTTCCCAGAACCCCGAAAGGTGTGATTTTTTCCAGAACATATTCTCAAAATTCCTCAACTAAAACTCTCCTAAAATGGCAAACCTGTATACTTTCATTTGTCTGATTATTTTGTTGCGTAAATGGCCAATGTTTACGAAATTAATGAACTAGTTGACATAATACTAACATATGGATAGTGCCAACAAAATGCAGCCACAGCATGAACTCATTTTCGACATAGATTTGCGGGATAGCATGATTAGCAATATTCAAATATGTGATGTTGTAAGTTTATTACGGAATCTGTAGATAGAAACGGAATAATGGATGGACGAGCATTCATAGTGTTGAATTCTGCACACGAGTACTTAATTTTGCACTACTTTCACCAATTGTTGCGTTACTTACCCCCCAGATGTTACGCAGACTTCCGAAATTAACACAGTTCCCCTCATGCCATCTAGAGACACAGCACATTCAGCGTTAGCTTCGACTTTCTGCTTATACAGTCCACTCAGCATATCGTATCCTTTGTGTTTAACCGAGACGTATAATCTGTCATCGCCACGCATGTTGCGTTTACGCTCTGCCATGCTGAGTTTCTTGTAGTAAGGCTCCAAAGCTTTGAAAAGACGCGTTTCGTCGACGAACGGCAGTAAAGCGACGCCTTGCCACGCAAATTTCTTGCCGTTTAGATCGATCTTGAAGTCTTCTGGGTAGAAGTCTATTATTGGTGAGTCCTAAGTAATAAAAAGGATATTCGATAAATAATGGAAATGGTATGTATAAGTAGCAGTGTAAATAGGTAAGAGGATCTTTCACACCTTAGCGGTTACATAACAAAATCAGATCGAAAAATAAACTGTTAAATGCTATAGGGCTTGTCGATTCTCCGAGTTAAAAATACGGATTTGCTGATTTACACATGCTCTTGTTTACCGTACTATTACTTTTGTTCGTGATCGATCTAACATGTAACGCTGATTGGCTCATCAAATAGCTTAGGCGTAAGGTTCAAGCGAGCCTAAGTGGTGAGTTTTTTGGCATCTCGATACAAATTTTCTGTGTTCTCACTAATGACTACCAAGGTCCTCAATGCCCACGGCAATGAGCTAGACAAAGGTAATTACCATTGCTTCCGGGGATATATCTGAGGGTGGGATGTATACATACACTTTAGGTGATCCTGATCAGGATCTTATTGTTAGCCGAGTGAGCAAATTTTGAATTTTTTATCTTTGGAAATTCTGACACTGCGGCCCACACTCGAGATCGAGCGGCGTCTCCGATATCTCGTAACACCAAAGGCCAGACAAAGGACGTGCGCACATAAGTGCAAAGGGTACTATAAAAGTTTTGCAATATTACTTAACAAATGGACGCAGGAGGCTGCATTTTGAGACATGTCCATGAGTGCATAGTAGCCGCCAGCAGCACGTCTGTTGATTTATTTGTTCATTCGTATTGACAGTGTCAAGTGCGGACTGTGGCATCGTGGTCACGTAGTGAGATATGGGCAGTTTCACGGTATAACTTTACGCGTGGTTTAAGCATAGACCAGGGCTTAGAAGAAATGGCGCTTGCATCAAAGAATGATTGTCCTCATCGTACGACTATATTCAGCTGGTACAGAGGATTCCAAAGGGGCAATTTCACTCTGGAGGACGCTGAGAGGGAAGGAAGGCCGCGAACGTCAGTAGCAGAGAAAAACTGCTGTGGAGAAAATACTTGACGAAGACCGGAGAGTGACATACCAAGATATAGAGGATGCCTGCACCAACAATTAATTCAATTCTGCATGACCATTTACACGTAAGGAAACTTTGTTCTATTTGGGTACCACATAGTGGAACACACTTCGTACGAGTTGCTGCTGAAAGATGCTGAAAATCTTTGATAAGAGATAGTCTCGGTATGTGAACAGCATCGTGGCAGATGACGAGACTTAGCTCTCTTATTACGATGTGCCGACCATGGCTCAAAACAAAGGCTGGGTCTCTCATGATGAGGACACACCATAGCCGTCAGAAAATCCCGATCTGTTAAGAAAAAAATTATAGCGGTATTTTTCAAGCAGAGCTGGATTGTGGAGCGTGTCGTTTTGGATACACAGAAGACAAGTCACAGATAAGTGGTACATGGTGGCTGCCTAAAGTCATAGAGTCTATGAAAAACTTGGGGCCAAAGTCAAGAATAGACACTTGGTACCTCCACCATGACAACGCTCCAGCTCACCGCGCCAAAGCCAACACCAAGTATTTGACCACTTCTGGACTGAAACTTATTGACACTCTCCTTACAGTCCAGATCTTGCTCCCTGCGACTTTACACTGTTTCGGCAAGTGAAAATGAAGTTAAAAGGAAAAGGGGTTTCTAGCGATGAGGACATTCTGAGGGCTTGAGTGTGCCACACTCCCGGGTAAAATTTGGCTGGTTTAAGGACTGGTGTTGGAGGATGGAGAAGTGTATTGTAGTATCTACTTATTTTTGAGGTCAAGGCATTTATTATATTTTTTTATATATTGTTGCTATTATCAATTTTATTTATTAAAAAAGTGAAAAGAATCCTGTATTTTTTTTGTCCTTGTTAAATACCCCTTAGATTAATGAGTGAAGGGTTGTCACTACCTCTAAAATATGTACTAAATGGTAATGTACTGAGACTCAAGAATTATAGATTTGAGCATGCATGCGATGTGACCTTTGTAAAGATATTTTCCCTGATAATTTAACGTGTTTTAAAGGAGCAGCATACAATAGGTAAGTTGATGATATATTTGTCAACTTACAGATAATCAGATAAAGCCTTGTACTTATAGTTGTTTAAGCGTTGAGTGGTGCTTGAGTTTCAATTATGGTTTCAAGCATCATCAGTATTCATACATAAATTGTTTCAACAACTTACCGGATCAGACATAAGCTCGGCCCATACTCCAGGTACGTGCTTACTACTAGCTGCTGGAAACACACCCATCAATTGCTCCAATGGATTGAACTGTAAAAAATATAAACTGGGTTTTCAAACCAACTACAAAGCCATAAAGTATGATCTAATTCAAGAAGCTTCAACATTAATTTTTAGTTTATACCGAGTAAAAGACTAAGAAGCACACATAAAAAGTGAGAAGGACATAGCAGGATATTATTTCCAGTGGCGACGCGTGACTTTTCCTAAACTGTTACCAAAACCATATGAGAAAAATCTTATTAGAAAAGGTTTTATTTTGACCCTCCCATGTAAAAGTTTTTGCTTATTTTAGGTATTGTATTTAAACTTTTTTTAAATTAAGGTAAACATTGATGACTGGGCGTCTGCGGCACTTGATAAACCTCATCGTCTTATGCTATGACTAATTCAAGCCTTCCGAAAAACAGTAGACGTTTCTAAAATAAGTTGGTATTCCATTTTCAATGATCTCATTTTTTTCTTCAAAATTATACAAGAATGACTTTTCAAGTAGATAATCGATTACGCAGCGACACTCATCCATGTTTAACTGCACGCACACTACAGCTGGCAACCAAAACGATAGCCCCTACTGAGCGAGGGCCGTGGCAAATGCTTGTTCCAGAAGTTGTTGTATCCAGTATACAACTTCTTCCCGTCCAAGTGATTGTGCACGCGTTAAGGAATACCTCAGTACCGATTGCCGGGTGGCGGTACAAGTCCGCCAACGGGCCACTTTAGGTCTATTTAACATCACTAACACGTAAAAAGGTGGTAGACAAGGACCAGTCGACCGAGGCAGTACCACCCGCTAGCTTTTCCCAGGGTGACTTATAAATGTCCGCAGGTTTCCACACCTAAGCTATGCAGCGGTTATCTACCAAAACAAAGAAACTAATGATGATGGATCCCTCGAGCACTAAAAACTCCGGACGTAAACTCACTCCACTCTCGGAATGTCCGGGTGGAGGGTGGGCTCGAGGGAACAACATCGAAGATAAAATTTGTTTTTCGAACATCTGCGGGATCAACAGCAACGTTGATGCTGTTCATCACTACCTGCAATCCAATCGTCCCGCCGTGCTTTTCTTGGCGGAGACAAAAATCTCGGAGACTGCACCGATTAACCATCTCAACTTCCCAAACTACGAGGTGCACTCCAATCTGAGAAAGAACGGGGGAGTTGTGGCTTTTGTCCGCAGCAGTCTTTCCTGCTCCAGGGATCTTTCTTTGGAATCAGACCGGAAGGACATTCTGTGGCCTCGCCTCAACTTCAAAACATCACCCAAATTTATTTGCTGCCTTTATCGCTCTCCCTCGAACCATAACTGGGATGACCTACTCGAATACCTCGCCGTCCAGATCGACCTCCTGAACATCAATCACCCCGCTTCAGAGGTAGTTCTTCTCGGTGATTTCAATGCCCATAATGAGCTTTGGTTGGGCTCAAATAAGACCGATGCAGCAGGTCGTGCAGTCGAAGCGTTCGCTCTTACTCAAGGGCTGACCCAGCTGGTGACGAGCCCTACTTTTTTCCCCCGCGTCTCGTCACACGCCAGTAGCCTGCTGGATCTCTTTCTGACCACGCATCCTGCCCCTTACAGCACTGCTGTCCTGTCCCCCCTGGGTAACTCAGATCACGGTGTTGTGGAGGTTAGGTTTCGGTCAGAAGCCGCTGTGGCAGCAGAAACTCGCACAGGGCGCAAAACTTGGCATTACGGACAAGCCGACTGGGAGGGGCTCAGAGACTTCTTCTCTAGCTTTCCTTGGAGAGATGTCTGTTTCGCTGACGCGGATGCGTCGACTGTCTGTTCTTCAATAACCGAAATTATCCACGTCGGAATGGAGGAATACATCCCTCACACAGTGAAAGTTCCTAAACCAGGGTCCAACGGTTGGTTCAACAAATCGTGTGACACTGCTCGCCAGCAGAAGATCAAGGCCCACAGAACCTACTTACAAAACCCCACTGTAGAGAACAGACAAGCCGACGTCGAGTCCAGAAACAAATATAACGAAGCGGTTCGCAATGCCAAAACCCAGCATGATATAAAAGTTAGGCACAGGGTAATGTCGCAGCGCAATGGCAGTCGGTCTTTCTGGACGCTGGCCAAGCAGATTGAAAAGAACTTCTCACACAGTAGCCTTCCACCACTTACGTGTCAGGATGGAACTATTGTACTCGACTCAAAGGCCAAGGCGGAAGTGCTAGCCAAGATCTTTGCTGCCAACTCCACCATGGACGTCCCCACCAACGCCCAAGTGCCGTCAATTCAAAGGGTTCCCCACACTAAGCGGGAGGTAACATTCAGGCATAAGACCGTAAGACGGGTGCTCTTGTCGCTCGACATCAACAAAGCTTCTGGTCCGGACTTGATTCCTGCCATTGTACTGAAGAGATGTGCAGCTGAGCTTGCTCCAGTTCTTTCGCGTCTCTTCCAGATATCTTATGAATCCGGCACTTTCCCAGAAAACTGGAAATTTGCTCATGTACAGCCCATCTCAAAAAAAGGATCTAAAACCGACCCTTACAACTACAGGCCTATAGCTCTGCTTTCTGTTATAAGTAAAGTGATGGAGAGGTGCATAAATCGCGAGCTTCTGGACTACCTCGAACGTCACACCTTGATTAGCGACAGGCAGTACGGTTTCCGGCACCAACGATCCACAGGGGACCTCCTAGCTTACGCCATGCAACTGTGGAGTAAACTCATCCAGTCTCATGGTGAGGCTCATGTCGTTGCTCTTCACGAAAGCGTTCGATCAGCTGTGGCACGCTGCCCTCTTGAGCAAACTTCCATCCTACGGCATCCCAGAAAAGCTTTGCAGATGGGTGGCTGACTTTATCTCTGGCCGCAAGATATCCGTCGTAATTGACGGATTCTCCTCTTCATCCCACAACGTCAACGCGGGTGTTCCCCAGGGATCGGTCTTGGCTCCAACACTGTTTCTCTTACATATCAACGACCTCCTTTCCTGCACGATCAACCCAATCCACAGCTTCGCTGATGACAGCACTCTGCATGCAGGAATTCAGAGTGACAGGCCGATCTCTGCCGCTGAGCTGGAAAAAGGAAGACTAGCGACGACTTCTTCTCTGACAAGAGACCTGGAGGCTATCACTGCTTGGGGACGCAACAATCTTGTACAGTTCAATGCTTCAAAAACACAGTACTGTACTTTGACGAACAAAAAGCGTCCTAGCGCTCATACAATTTCGATGGACGGTCGAGTTCTACCAAAGAGCCATTCATTTCGGTTGGTCGGAGTCCAGATCACCGAGGACCTGATCTGGCACGAGCACATCTCTTCAATAGCTGCAGCTGCTGGGAAAAAGCTAGGCTATTTGTTTAGGGCTAAGAAGTACTTTTCTCCGCATGACCTTCTCACTCTATACAAGGCCCAGATAAGGCCTAGCCTCGAGTATTGCTCACACATTTGGGGTGCTGCCGCCCCGACTACATTGTCCATGCTCGTTGCTGCCCAGAGAAGGGCGGTCCGACTGATCGATAACTCTTCTCTAACAGACAGTCTCGGGACTCTTTCGCACCGGCGGGCCGTCGGCGATCTAGCTCTTTTCTATCGCTACACCAACGGGCTTTGCTCCTCAGAGCTCTCTTCCATGATGCCGCCGCGCGATGTGCCTGCCAGGCAGACCCGCCTGACTTCGGCGTCCCATCCTAACCGTGTCAAACTTCGTACATCCAGAACTGGCCGATACGACCGCTCCTTTGTCCTGAGGGTGTCTAGATTGTGGAACAATCTACGGGAGGAAGCTTTTCCCAGTTCTACTAACCTTAGGCAGTTCAAAAATCGTATTAACAAAATTTCTTTGGGATCATCATAGCAGCCGCGGTGTTCCGGCATTTAGGCTTCTGCCTGCGCGGCTGTTTCGATATATATAAAAAAAAAAAAGATTACTAACGCTAACGAGAGAGAAGTGAGTAACCAAAACAAAAAATGGTAACAAGCCTACATAATAATCGCGGCGGCCAAGCACTTAGGCGACCGCGATCAGACACGAGCCGGCACCAACTGTCCCCGGCGGGCTATCAAGTGTATCCATAAACGAAAATGGTAACAACCAAGTCGAGGCGAGTCGGCTTCATCGCGTTCGCAAAATCTAGACAGTATTATAGGGCGCATTATTTTCGTGGGGCTAATCTGCTATTTACTGAATTACTAGTACATATTGCTGGGTAAATAAATGAATGAAATTATTTCACAGTAGTCATAAATTATTTATTTTTAAGATTCTTAACTGTTACCAATGGTAACAATGGTTACATGGACGCTTCGCCACTGATTATTTCGAATAACGATTATACTGATAACCAGATATTTAGGATATTCAAATACTTACCGGTTTGGTGTCGGCTTCAAATTCTGTACTCAATCCCGATATATTGCAGAAATCTGATGCGAATGGAGCGTAATGATACGGAAAATACCATTTCCATGAAGCACATCCTTGGTAATAGTATTTGAGGACCCAACACAGCCCTCTTACGTATTGTAAAGCGACGGAATATCTGCAAAACGAGGTTGATTTTTAAAAGAGCTCCTAGAATTCAAACGTGATACTTATAAATATTTCTCTTAGTTTAACGCTAACAAGGATTCATTTGATTATCGTAATGTAGATCAAATGAGGGAAGAGCCGAATATGTAGAATACGAGTAGCTCAATTATTTGACTAGACTAACTGTTCAAATGTTTTACGTTTGATGTCAGATATGCACGGCTAGTTTAATAAACGTAGTGTATTAGTTTCAGGTTCTCCTGAGAACTATATTGAATTCAATTTGTGCCTGCACATAATTAGGGCAAGTTTATACTCAAAAGGTCCTACTCATTTCCGCGCGGAGATACAACGATAATGTAGGTTTTAACATAAGGTATTGTATTGGTTCATAACAAAATATTGAAATTGGTGCGGATATATTGAATGCAACTTTCGAAGATTTAAGGACGTACCAGGAAGAGTAATCTCGATGTTATCCAAGAATTGTAAAACGAGATAAAGGAAATGACGCATTATCATATTTGCAATCCTAACAAAGTCTCTCAGTTTTGATTCAAATATTGTTTACGCTATTTTGCTGTTTCATGTCTGAATCTAATTTGTTGAAATCCTTGATTAAAACTCAATTTCGTATATATCCTTGCATTTTTTTGCGCTTAAATGGAAATCATGCTTGTGTCTGGTACCATAAAAATCATAGTCAGCATCGACAAAAGATATTGCAGATAGATATGGCAATAAATGATTTTTCACCTTATAAAAAAAATCATGATTAGGTATTTGCAGAAATTTTTAATGTTAAGCCATTTTAGGTATTGAGCATTTGATTGATTGGTGTATATTTATTTTTAGTATCCTCATACATTTTGTAAAATCTGCAATCTTTGGAAATCGGAATTATTAGCCAGACTTTACTACTAACTGTCAGTGAATGACAGTGAAGCTTTCAGTTCTATATAGGTTCAGTTTTAGATGATACATTACTATCTAGCAACATTAATTTTATGGTTGGTGTAGCTCCACTGTAAATTGTAGGACAAAATCTCAGTAATTTGATACATTGCAGCCTTCTGTCAATACAAAAACAATAGTGAAATCTTACCTAAATTCTAATTGCTGTGGTCCCACGTCAAACTTGGACTCGTAGTACCTGTCTTTGAATCCGTCCTCCCATAACCGAACTTCATCATGCGCTTGATCGTCATCTGAATCATCTTCATCGTCCTCAATCTTCCTCTTTTGCCCCTTCGAGTCTGTCGGAGACATCATCGCCTCTAATGCTGTTTTACTGTTAGTGGTTTTAAGTTTAGCATCCATGTTAGAATTCATGCCGGCCCTGCGTATGTTGTGCGCTTCTTGTTTCACGTTCGTCAGTGTCTGTTGTTGGCCTATGGCCTGGAATAAATGCGAAAACACGTTACTGACAAGTTACATCAGTTCAAAATAGTACCATGATTGTACAATAAAAAGAGTTTATTCATATGGAAACGTATTATTGTGACACTACACTAAACAGTTTTTCGGATGCGACAAAGATCGGTACTTGGACCCTTGTCACACATAACATACACGGCGGATCTTTTAAGTGAAATACAAAAAGTGAAAGTGCAAGCGTCTGCTGGAGACATCCAAGTTTATTTTAGTTTTCTTATAAAAGACAGAGCTGCAGCAGAACGAACTCTCAATGAAAAGCTTCAATCGAGTGATTCACAAGTCGTAAAAACACAAGAGTAATTATTTGAAATGAAGGTAAAATTCGAGAAATTGCGCATTTCGAAAAACAAAAACAGTAGCGTACAATTTTTATTTGGAAAAATGCCACTAATCACCTGTAGCTCCGCCACTGGTGCAGGTTAATTTTAAGTAAAGACTTTTGAATCCACATACCAAATTTTAGTTCGTTCTGGTTGACGGTTTTCAAGATATTAAAAAAATGTTATTTATTTTTAAACTTCAACAACGTGTATCTTTCAATGAAGCCCTCGAGGAGAAAATGTTACATAAAAAGACACCCCTTAAAATGCGGTCCTGTGTATGCTGTTTCATTTTTGGTCCAGAGAGTCCAGGAGTTGCTACCTATAGACTACCCCCTAAGAGTAAGATTTTGTGAGTGGTTGTTGCAAGAAAATGCTAGAAAAGCCCGTTTTACAGCTGATATTTTGGCCACTGATGAAGTTATTTTGACTCGTAATAGGATAACCAATCTTCATAATATGCACGTTTGGTGCTTTGAGAATCCTCACGCAGTGGTCCAGACACTCTTCCAACATCGTTTTTCTTTAAACGTGTGGGCAGGTATTGTAGATGAACGTCTAATTGGACCGTAACAGTATTTGGAATTTCTTCGGAATGATTTGCCGTTCCTTCTTGAAGATATGCCATTGGCGATCCGAGCACGGATCTGATTTCTGCACGATGGGGCACCTCCGCATTTTCGTTTAGAAGTTCGTGATTTTTTTAATCAAGTATACCAAATACGCTGGTTCGGAAGGGGTGAACCAATTGTATGGCCTCCACGGTCTCCCGATCTAAATCCTCAGGACTTCTTTTTATGGGGATACTTGAAAAACGAGATATACCGTACTCCAGTTCAGAATATTGAAGAATTGCGTGACCGAATCACAGTGGCTGCCGATAATTTGATCCTTCAGGCACAGCAGGAAGGAGGTGTACTTGAATTAGTGCGCCGCAATTGGATTAGACGCGCCCTGGCTTGCATTGCAGTCAATGGAAACAATTTTGAACCGCTTTTATAAGTAAGTGAACTGTTAAGCTGTATTATTTTATTATTTCGATTTCTGTAGGACTTTTATTACATTTTTTTTTTGAGAAATCAACTTCTTTCGTAACATAGCATATGTGGTTAAAATTTGTCGGATAAGTTGTGAAACGCCCTGTACAGCTTGACTTTGCCACTGGTATTGTACTTCTAATATAGTAAATTCATTATCTAATCAATAAAGACGGTTTATTATTATTAATTGTTATCATTATGTTGTTGATTGACAGTGTCAATTCATCACTGACTACCCTACTATTCTATAAATCAAAGAATACATAAACAGCAACAAGCTGAATACAGAGTTGCAATGTTAGTCATATGGTTCCAGAGAAATATAAAAAAGGCAAATTTGACATGTAATCTCCAATAGAAAATTTTCAAGTGGGTATACATTTTTTTTGGAAACACGACTTCCCTCTCGTTAATTTTGAGCGCACCTTAAGCAGACCAGGATGTGTTTGAATGGAAGAGAAGAGCTATCAAGCATTTGGGTTCAATTGGTTTGTATGTTTGGCTGCTCATGGAATTATTTTTTAGAAAAAGTTGCTTTTTCTGCCATTATGTTAGGCTTTCGTCAGATGCAAGGAAAATAACCTTTATTCTTAGAATTTGATCGATTTACAAGATGTATATTGTCACGTTATAATGATATCCAGAATAAAAAGTTGGCGGAAAATAGGGAAAATGTATGCAAATATGTTTTTTCCAATACACGAGCAAAACAACGAGTGTAAACTGTATCATGACTAGATATGAATGTAAACAATTGATTTCAACTATTAAAAAATTCAATGTCGTCTAGGTAGAAAATACCCCTGTGTTGGTGAATTTATAATATATATAGCATAGCCTATGGGTTTTGGTGGACATCAGCAACCATCTCTGACATATCAGTTTAGAGTCTCAAATGTTTTGTAATTCTGTTGTAGTATGAAAAATAGTCACCTGAGGCTCAAACTGTGTTCCCCTTAAAAATGTCATATTCGGCCTGTGTTCATTATAAGCGTCCCTCCTTTTTTTCGCCTTGTCTCTCGCTTTGAACTGAAGTTCACGCTGCTGTCTATTCTTAAAAATTTCGTCTTCTACTTTGCCTAGTTCCAACATTATCATCTGAACTCTTTCCAGGTTTACATCCCCGCTATTTGTTAGATAACCCTAAAAAAGTAAAAAATACATTTTGGTTTATGCGTGGTACTCTTCTATCATAACAACATACGATTGACTTTTATAGTATTTGTTTTAGCTCCCCAATGAAAATTCAGGGATACATTGTGACGTTTTTTACTTTTTACTGAGACATCTACAGACTGGAATTGAAATTTTATAATAAAAAAACTGCAACCGATCATAATTTAGCCCTGAATATTTATTGTGAAGTTATGTACAAATACTAATCGATCGTTTTAGTATGATTACTATTTAGTAGGGGTAGTTCTCTGAAATCCTTGGGTCCGAATCGGATTGAAGAACCGGGAATACACTTTTGTCACCTTGGAAACTAAGTATAAACTAACTGACTAATAAAAATTAGAATTTGAAGTATGTTTGAAACTCCAATTTTCGTTTGCGTTCTATCGCCTATATTACGGAGGTTACTACTCATTAGTTTGTTGAAGACGCTTCATAACTAAGGCTGTCTCTTATAATAAATAATATAAGCGAAATGCAAAGCCATTTATAGAATTGAAATTAACCCTACACTATAGTATATTTCAGCTTGATTTCAACTCCAAAACTGAATTTGAATCCTATAGTCTAATCATATTAGCAAATTTAACCGAAATAGCTGTAAAGTCTGGTTTTATTGGTGCAAGTTGTTCGAGGGGTATTTAAAACATGGACGCATAAAATGGGTACACCAATTTTTGGGGGAAAACTTATTTGACAACGAAGAATGAGAAAACGTGTTTTTTGGGATTCAATCGAAAGTGTTGGCAGGAACGAAAAAACTTTTCATATACGATTTTTAGGTATTTATGAGGCCTACAAAATGAAACCACACGTAAAAAAATCCGACTAATAGCAAAAATGTTATGGCCGAAAAATGAGGCAAAATGCAGGATTTGGTACTTGGTAATGCGACAATCACTAGTTGAAATTTTTCAAATCGTAGGATTCATACTTCTAAATAACAACAACAAAATTGGAGTATATTGGTCAAGTAGTTTTTTGAGAACTTTTAATTGTTTATCCTAAAACACCCGTTTTCCGGCCATCACTACTAGTTTATTGAGCAATATACAGCGTTCGTTCAAAGAGCATTTAATAGCAAAATGTGTGTGTGTTTACCTTGCTGATATGAATCAAAAACCATTCTGAAAGATAATGTTATTTCTATGCGAAAAGCAAAGGTTACTTTTTTTCTTCTAAACAAATTTAAACATTTCGTATTTGTGAGTCCTTTTAGTTACAGTTATACATTTTTTAGTGTTCTTGGATGTTACAAATCTTGTCGATTTGGACATGGGAAGTATAATTATGTTGTAGTATGTCCATACAAAATCACATGAAGGAAGCATGTCAGACTGAGAAGTACACAATAATTGTGTGGCAAATAGTTAAAAGGGCATAAGTCAGTTTTTTCGATTTATAACACTTTATATATTGGTTGGGAGGATGTCTATAAGAATAATTCAGTAAACTTGTACATGCATATATATATGGAGGAAAATCACAATAAAAATTGAGGCTAGGATCAAATTGATCTAGTCTCCTTGGTAAAAATTATTTAAGTCACAAAACTTTTCTTATGCCCTTTTCAACTATTTCCCACAGAATTGTAAATATGCGCACGAAGTATTGAATATCCCAAGTATTTCATATGACCATGATGTATTTGACAAAAACTGCCCCAGCTATGTGAACCAAATCGAAAAAGTCAAAAAGAATGAACATTTTATGAAACATTGCAATTAGATAGCTGTGTCATAATCTTCTACAGCTCAAGTTCAAAACCTAGCGAAAAAATCTTTTTTTTGAAGGATTAAGGAAACAAGGACTTTATAATTCAGAAGAACCAAGTGATATGTGATTTTTGTCAATGCAATATTGTAGCTCATAACTAAATGAGCATTGATTCTATTCTATTCTATAAGTAAACTTTATGTACTTTGTGACACTTACCCCAGTTTTATAGACGCAGTCCTTATATAACCTGATCAACCTGTCAATAGCCCCCTCTCTGATCTCCAGGCTAGGCAAATGTGGCAAGAAATCGTTTCCCACGAAGAAACACATGAACACCCAATCGTCCAGAGCCCTTTCAAATTCATATTTAAAAGGAAGGTTAGGCATAAAGAGTTCTTTTTCAAGATATTCTTTCAGGACGTTCAATCGTACGAAAATGAAATCGGTCTCCGCTGATATGGGAAGGTCTGCTGGCTTCTCGTGTTCTGACCTGCTGCCGCCAATGCAGTCTTTCATTTCATGACCTGAAAAAATTCTATGTATTAAGTTGTCACAGTACTTCTTTCCTCAAATTATTTTCACCGACAGCCGCAAGCAGTGAACCTAACCTCAAAACTTTTTGTTCAAGGTTCTATTTTAATAAAGTTCCCTGTTATAAATCACGAGTGCTTTATTTTTAATTTACTTCAGCTCATATGCAGTTGGAATTACCAATTCAACGTTATTCGCTACGTGCGCGAACTTAGCGTCAGCTAGCGGATAACAATGAAAATAACAGATAATTAGCCGATTTGAGGTTGGGAACAATCAGAATTTCAAACTAAAGATTCTCTAATCTGACAAATGATGAGAGTGAAGTATTTGTACATTGGGCTTGCCTCATGACTCCACATGACACAGATTTCCCTAAAGTCTACAGTATATTCAGATAAGAGATAGACCGGATGTAAACAAAAGGTTCGGGTGATTTTCACGCTAACGCCGCCGTCTCGACGTAAAACAGGAGCCCTCATTGGTCAATTCACAATTAAATGCCTATGCCGAGCGGCAGAGCAGACGTATCAAGGCAGAGTCACATTCAGGTGCAGACGTGTTACGTATGTCGTGTGCATCATTGCAATTTGATATTTCTTTGGACGTTTTCGCTTGTTATCTTATTAAGTTGTTGAGTTTGTCGTTGTTATTGTTATACCTTGTTATAATTATAGGCTAATTTAAACGCCATTTTGAGATTATATTCGACTGTATTTCACCAAACATCAGACGGCATCCGAAGCTGGAAATCGAAGCGAAAATTTTGAAACCCTTATGTATATTTACATCATTATATATTTCTTACCCCACCCCCACATGATCCTATATCCATCACCAATCGTATACACATCGAATTGTGCTAATTTACTACAAAGTTACGCAAAGCAGCATCTACTATCTAAAATATGTACTGCGTGACTCTTAATACGTCCCTGCCGAATGTTACAGCGTTCGATGATCACGTGGTCTTGTTTATGTCCGGTCTATCTCTTATCTGAATATACTGTATATTCCACTATCCACCCGACAATGTTGCCATTTTTGTCCACAGAGTGCACGGTGATCGATGTACACCTATTACCCCACATTATTCACTTTATTTCTGGTGAATAGCCCAACTACAAAGTTTTATGAAAAAATGAAATACAGAGACATAAAATCTCTCTCAACGTATTTAATGAAAAAAATCGACTCTATGACAGGAAGTTCATCAATAATAAATTCGGTATAATTACGTTTTATTAGCAGTATTCGTGAAATTCTGGATTAATATCATTTAGATTTTAGAAGTACTTCGAAACATTTGAGACCAATGTCGTTCTATCAAGATAAATACAGAAAATATAAAAATAAGTATAAATTCGCAAAAATTAATGATTTTGAAAAATGCCATCAAACACTTCCCGCGCAGCTTAAAGTTTCGAAAAATTCTAATTTTCTAAGAGATATTAGAAATACTTTAATAGACCTGAAATCCAATTAAAATGTTTTACTTTTAGGCAGATGCTACTGTGCAGGTTTCGACTCTACCTACTGGACTTTTTGTTAATAAGACAATGTATATGTTTACCTAATTGTCCACAAATCTCACAAGGTTTTGGCTGATTCGGTTTGAACTCCTCTCTGATGATGGTGAAATTTGGTTCATGTGTGGCAAGTCCCAACATGATGAGATCAGCATCAGCACCACATAGGCAGTGCTGGGTATTGGGATCATGGTCAGGCTGAGATCTCTGTCTTCTGATGTAGTCCATTATTTTATGTTCGCCTTCCCCGGGAACGTTGGCATCAGACAGAATGACCTGAAATCAGCAAAATATACAGATTCACTTTATGGCATGGGAAGTGATTTTGATACGAAATCACACAGAATAAAATTGAGTCGATCACTTGGGATCGAGTAGATCAAAACAAAAGAATGCAGCAATTATTAATGACTAATTTTATGCATATTTGTTTGAAGGCATAGAAACGAAGATTCGACCGAATATTAATATTTTACGAATGAGATGTAGTGAGATTTTTATGACATAAATTCTAGTTTGACATTATAAGTTTTTCTACATAATTAGTGTATAACCGTGTTTGTGCATTGGAGGTTAGGATTCAGTTAGTTATGAGGAGAATAACCTTTATTCTATGACGTTGACAGTTTCACTTGAAATGTATGTTTCTGGAATAAACTGTATCATCTACATCAATATTGAGTCTCAAATTCATGTTCCGGAAGTTGTTGTACTCTGTATACAACTCTTCCCGCTCAAGTGAACCTCAGTGATTGCCGGGAGACGATACAAGTCCGCCAACAGGCCACTTTAGGACTATTTTCTTTGGAATCAGTCCGGAAGGACCTTATGTAGCTTCACCATAACTCTAAACTATCCCCCTCATTTGCTGCCTCTATTGCTCTCCCTCAGACCATAATTGAGATGACATATTTCACTATCAAAATCGACTTCCTGAACATCAATTACCCTGCTTCAGAGACAGTTCTTCTTGGTGATTTAAATGTCCATAATGAGATATGCAGAGAAATTTTCTCTTGGCTATGGATGTTGTGATCGTCCGTAGGTGGTAGACGGTCTCTGACTGTCGAACGCGGAAGTACCACCCGGCGGATCTCGTAGGCGGAGTCAGAATGTGTGCATGTTGCATGCACACGTGTTCCCTCGCCAGAGTCCGTGTGGCGTTCCCCCTTTCCCCCTATAGCCCCATGGTACCCAATGGGTGTTTTGGCATCAGGCCTTCATTGTAGTTGGAGTATAAAAAAAAACTATTCTATAAAAAGCCTAAAAAACGTCAAAAAAAAAAATGTTACAAATTCATCTTACTGACTAGGTAGATTTTAGTGTGCAAATCGTTCATTCCACGTTTGGTTGCTATGATCGCTGTTCACTGACGTTTAAGCAACACATACAGCTACAAAAGGACTTCACAAAAAGTGTATAAGCTTGTGCTAAGTAAACATCTTGTAGAAAAATCTACGAAATGTAAAAAAAAACTACAAAATGTCAGTTAGTAATATCCGTGCTGATTGGGGTCAAACAAGAACAAACCCAATAGGTGACGAGCCCTCCTTTTTACCGTGTTTGTCTTTATTGTCTATATAGGTTTTTAACTGCATTTTTAAGGACTTTATTTTTTTACCTTTCATTGACACTTAATGTCTGTTTTATGCATGTCTTATTTACAGATTGTTTTCTGTTTTTACTTTTTCTGTTCTATTTTCCTGTAAAACTGACATGTGAAGACACACTTCTGTGTAATAGCATTAATAAAGTATTATCATTATTGTTAAAATTATGATTACAATTCTTGTATTAAACAAAACAGTTCCACAAATAATCCTAATTGTAATTATTACATAGATAGGATTCTCCACAAATATAAATTCAGTGTCTTACCATACATATGAGTAGTGAAGGGAATTTTAAAGCATACTGCATGTATTATAATGTCCATAATAGTTTGAATGTTTCACATGAAGCAATAATAATTATCTCACCTTGATGCCTTTCCAACCAGGATCATTATTGAGCCTCTCATGGACATAGTAGTGCAGACACTCTGACAACCTTGCCATGAATGGTGTACCAGGTGTGATACAGTTTGAATCAAAATGTTCTTCTTTGGGCTTCTCTGGAGGCAACTGGCATCCTTTCAAAATCAACTCTGCTCTGATCCTTTTGATCTCTTGTATCTTTTCTTGTGTCTCCTTGGATGCTCTGAACCGTCTTGAGCGCTGCTGGTTCATTTTTGCCCTAGGAGCAACACCATCTATAGCCATGTACAGCAGTTTTCTAGGTCTCACTATGCGGAACAACCTATATTGAAAATTGATGAATAATGAATAAAAATAAGAACACCAAAATAAAATCTGTAACAAGAATTGCAGTGGTTGAATATAAAAAATTTCACATTTGGTTATTTTCATATTTAAAAAAAAATCATCTTTTGCCACAACATTTAGAACATTACATAGAATGGAATAATCATTAAAAATTGCAATAGTAATCTAACTAGCAAATCAATATTTCAGAAGAGTTTACTTGAATTTAATATGATATAAAGTGATAACTGTAATTTAAAGATGTTTAAAAGAATGGAACATTTCATGGACAGTGAACATTTTTAGAGATGTTTTGTTTTTCTGAATATTTTTATATTATGGATTGTTGTAGATTTTCGAAAGAATGTAATTCTAACAATCATGATAAATATATCTTAAACAAACAAAGCTATATCACATGGTGGCTAAAAAGTAAAAAAATCAAGCTACAATAAACGTTATCATAACAGTAGTAGTAATCCAATAGCAAACATTTTCTGGAATATATTGTAGGAAAGAAGAACCATAACAAGATAATAATTGTTCATCTTGACATATACACAACTTCTTGATAATATTTGTGACAGTAGATATTTTTAGCATAGCATACAAAAATTTGATGAATTAGTACTTGCAAAGCAAATTTTTTAATATACTCAGTGTCAAAGAAAACAGAGTATTTATAAACACTGTACATCCATATTCAACACTCTAATGATTATTCATTTATTAATTAGTTTTTATATAATGTTATTTTAAAATTTTTCCTTTGGAGAATGCAACACTAAATTACTATGTTGCCCAAAGTGTATAAAATTCGCAACTCCAGGAGTTCTATATAAAAAAATATACATTTAATAGCTGTTAGCTGTGAGCTCTTAAAAATTGCTGATAACATAAATCGTTGTTTTCAAGTAACTCTATAACTTTCAATTAGTTTTTGGAACTTTTGAAAGCCCTTATAAATTGACTGCTATTAATGGCTAAAAAGGGTAAGACTCATAGATACACCAGGTATCTTTAAATTGAAGTTATTTTGGGGGTACTAAAAATAGTTGATTCTCACAGTAGGATGTATATCTGCATATATCTACACCCAACTACTAGTGTCTACACTACACCATTCCAAATTTGAGATGATCCATATCAGTCTACCTATTGACTAAATTTAAGATAATAGCAAGACGAGAATCCCTGCCATCTGTTTGCTCTAGTATGCTTCTCAGCTTAGTAGCATTTTTTTACAGCATTCTATTTACCTGTCTATGCAATCGAAAATAGCAATCATCATCTCGTCCTCGTTTCTTGGCGCCGGTCTGTCTTCAGGGTGAGTGCATGGATGGATGATCCCATTCATGTCCAAATATAAATTATCAAATTCGACCCCATTGGGGTTCGGTTCTGCCGAATTTACTGGTACTCTGACCCCATTAATATCAACTGGCTGAAATACGTAAAGGCGAAGTTAAGAAATTGGTACAAAAATTAATGCACAATTCTAACCTTTTGCTCAACACAAGGGACGATTACTGATGGATATTTCCTACTCAGCCACCTGAAAAATGCTGGAACACCCATGACGGCACCGTATTAACAAGTCTTTTAAAAGTTTACTGATGTAAAGGATTGATTTATACAGAATTAAACCATTTCTGCTAAACAAAATATGAATTTGTTGTGTTTTGTCAATGAAAAATCTGAGCTAACCACAATACAAGAAATGCGTCGCCGTCGACGTGTCAACATCAATGTCAGTTCTGATGTCAGCGTCAATACTGTCACTGTCAAGTCAAATGTCAGAGGCAGAGATAAATAATTGGGGGATTGGCAATTCCAAGAGATACAGTAAATAGCAGGAGCGCTTCTGGTGGCAAAATTATAAAGCTTAAATAAACACTGGCCACGTTTCAGAGGGGACACTTTTAAAAATCAGGTTCTATCAACGCCAACTTGAGTCCTCTGCCTTTGGTGGGATTCGTGTTAGTGTGACATTTAGGATTTAGGGGTTATCAAAAACATTCATTTTTGGTTTTCGTTTTTTTTTTTTTGGTTGTATATATATATATATATATATAAACAAAAATAAATTTCTTGATTCTGTTGTTTGACGTATGACATTCGGACGTCAGGCTAATAAAGCGTAACAACCCATAGGAAAAAATCCTCCGGACGCTAATGAACATAAGCGGAAAATGCCGTTGTGGACACGAAGATCAAAGGTGTCGTAAATGTATAATCTGTATCACAGCATTGGTCAGTTGGGTCAGTCTTATGTGTTTTGTAGCATAGCTTACAATCAGCAAGCTATGAAGAGTTTTTAGTACTCTTGTTTTGCTGCTTAGTTACGATCTACGCTATTTCAATTTTGCGCAGTAGCGAGACAAACCTTCGCTCTGTCTCACCGAAATAAGGAAGCTGCGTTAGTTACGTAGTATATGGAAAGGCTTTTTCTCAAATGTTTTTTCCCTTATTTAACGCTGTCACCAGCATTCTTAAAGTTGGAAAATATTTATTAAAATAATTTTAGGTTGTAAAACATATTGTTTAAAACATAATAGAAATAATACAGCTTTAGCAAGAAGTGTCTTAAATGAATTGAATTGTACTGACTTTTGTTATATGGTGAGGTTCAAATTTGGCTGACGTCGTAATGGATACGAGAGAGAAGCGTGCATTGTGTATGTTAGGAAGAGAGCGCTGACGGCAACCCGGAAAGCCGCAGCTGATGCGTCCGTGGCCTCGTCACTCGGGTTGCTAGGCAACGAGGTACTTCTATCTTTTTCTAATATGTATACGTATTGCACGCCGCTTGCGCTTCTGTTTCGTACACATTACGACATCAGTGTTATATGGATTTTACTGAATATGCAATAGTAGTTCTGCTGGTTTTATTGCCACTTGTTGTGTAGTTGTATGATTCTAAACCGAAACTACCAAAAACCGTGAAAGGACCTATATATGTATGAATGTATATACAGAGTCGTTAATGTAATCATCCATCTCCTCTCAGAAGCCATACATTATACAGGAAAGTGTAACATATAAATGATTCTTGGTTTGAATTAAAGTTCATACAGTATGTACAGGGTTTTGCCAGAGAGATAATTGACTTCATCGTTTTTAAACAGCAACTCGTGCATTTCATTGCACTTTCGGGTTGAACACCTGACTTGGAACATTGTTTGTCATTAAATGTACAAGCATGTTCTGTTCCGTTTTTGAGATATATTGAGTATTGCATTGCATATTTGGTCAAATTTAGTTATCCTCATAATGGCTCAGTTTGCTAATGGAGGAAACATTTATATCAGCAAGTAATGGTCTAGCGACTTATTACTGTAATTTTCAAATTTCACCTCGTCGGAAATACAGCGTGTGCGAAGCACATCCAAACTTTGATAAAATGGATGTATGTAAAAAACTCACTTATTTTAAATTTAACACCCCATTATTTGTTTATCTTATTTTCTAGAGATTGAAATTACGTTTAATTTGATATTCTCAAGACCTATACTCAAATAAAGCAGATTTCAAAACTACAGCAGGTTTGATAACACCTAATATACGTATATTTCATTTAGCATAAGTTATTGGTATTAAATTTGAAAATAGGTTTCTTTGATCAGTCCTATATAAAAAACAAAATAAAAGGTGAGTCAGGAAAGCTTGACATCAAGCATCCATACACGTTCAGTACAGTTTTCGTAAAAAGATGTTGAATTCGGACAGTAGATAAAAAAGTTGTGAAAGGAAGAATTAGAATCGTTAATAAAAAATTTGTTTGACTCTGATGTTTAAGTACACTGCACATATTGACATGAGAAAACAAAACAAATTACAGACGTGGTGAGGGAAGGCATTGCGTTCTGATTGTTTGAAGAATCCACCCCACAGAGTGTCTTAAAGTTAGGTTAATGAAACTTGATTTTGATTTACCCTGCTTAAAAATCTGAAAAGTAACTACCAACAAGAAACCGAACACTCATATTAAGGCCGGAGAGTGTAGAGGTGTACTTCACGTTTGCCGAAAATAAAAAATTAAATACCATATGAAAACAACAATTCTTGGAAACCATTGACTTGACAAAATTTGAGCTAAGTGATTCAAAAACGTAGCTGAGGATTTTTTTAGAATTTTCCTACGTATATGTTTATAATCAGCTTTCACATTTGTATAAAGTAAAACCGTCGCTTTCAATCCAATGCCTTAAGCACATCTAAAAATTTGAGCCATTTATATAAATCGTGGCCAAACGAAAGTATCATCTAGCATAATGCATAATGTACAAGTATACCTACATAATCAACCTCTTGTATAACTACTACCCCAGATATTATTATGCATGCATACGAATATAGGTAGGTACATCCTAGCTACTTAGACATACATTACAATAATTGCATGTGGTTACGTAACTACAAACTCTTGATCTTGATAAATAAATTGGAACAATATTTCTGTCTTCTATTCTCCTTTAAGGAGTATAATTGAATTATCAAGATGCCATGATTGATAGCTTTTGTGCAGTTGGACGCATCCATATTGATTGAAGGCGTATGGGTGGGTTCTCATGGAGAATTGTCATATATAATATCTTAAGGATCAATTCCACGTATTGTTGTCTCTGAAACAGAAGAAGTATTCACTATATCTATGATCATAACGTATGCACAGTGGAGCATAACGCTGTGAAAGCAGTCTGATCCACAATATCTGCTGGACACAAAACAGTTCAGGTACGAGAAGGTATTAATAAATTATTTCAAACATTAATTTCACGACAGGGCGTTAAATTTTTTTTTACATTGTTGGGATTGTCTTAATGATGAATTCAAGATGTGCCCGGCCGTTATCGTTTGGGGCTTTGCCTGACTTCATACGTGCCGGATGGATACTACTAGAACTTGGCCAGTGCCAGCACAGCCTTTTACATTTTGTGCAGTTCTTTTTCACACTGCTAGTCAAGTACCAACAGTCACGCATCGTTTGTAGCAGGATACGCAGAGGTTATGTATCGAAAACGTTTTATTGTTGCGATGCGGCTTAGTATCAGTGATGTCGTCGAAGAAGAACTGACTTACGTCCTGAGGCCCAGCAGATTGATAATGTTTTGGCCTGCTCGACAGAGGGATCGGCACTCTCTTTGGCTCTGTGCCACAACCTTCCAATCCTACCCGCCGATTTCACTCATTCCAGTCACTGCGATCTAGTGCAGCTTATACTTCCTACAGCAATCTCTGTATACCATTTTTTAAGAGTTCTATTCCATTAAGCGGTCTACTGAAAAAACAAACTGTCGGTTATTTTTGGGGGGAATGTGACATCAACCTAAATTTACTGCAATAAGTTGAGTACTACAAGCGCCAAGATAAATATGTACAAATATCATCCATAAAATTATCTACAAGTTTGTATATACTCACCTTTAGCCTTAAGTCAATGGTTTAGAAGATAATCGCCCCACAATTTGGAGCTATAGTGGCGGCCATCCGCCTTACCGCTGCTCCATGTATAATCGGTAACTGTTGCTATGAATGACAAGTCAAGCAAGTCACTCCATAATTGTGCGTACTCCAAAGAGCATTGTTTTGTTTGACATATAAAACATTGTATGTCACATTATTTAAAAAAAAATTACTTAGGATGCCTAGAGTGGCTCTTCTAGTACGGATAAACTGACTACTTCTAAAATCTCAAAGTTTCAGTGATATCTGGAAAAATGTACTTACACTGTATATAAAAGCTCCTTACGATTTGTATAAGAGTGCTGAATTCAATTACATACTCGTATAATATGGAATCGCAATATACCGAAAACAGCTGTTTAACAACGTTTCGCTTCCATTGCGAACAAATAGATAGATTTATTTTGTTATGTTTTAATGCAATAAGGAACATCTTTGTCTTCATCATATGCAGACGATTAATCTCACCTTTAAAAAGAGTTATCAAATTCAAAAAGTGGTTTTGAAAAATTTTGAAAACTACGAGTACTAGAAAGTTTTATTCCCGCTTGTCCTGCTAACGAATCTTATCTCATAGCCCCACAAAGAAAAACTGAAGGTCGAGATCCGTGAGACACTCCATGATATTAGTGTTTTCGACGCTGAATTCAAATTTGTGTTCGAAAAGGTCTCTACACCCTCCGAACAGATGTGAAGATACTTCGGGGCCTGGTTTTTTTTTCTGCATTTTTCAGTTCCTTCATCTCTTACAAGACCGCATATCTTTTTAACATTCCATTTTCAAACGACAATAACATCCGCTGATTTCTTATGGCCATTATTCAAGTTTCACACGCAAATAATTCAGAAAGAACAGCAAAGCAAAGCATTTGTCGGTGCATATTACACTTTGATGTATCAATTGATATGTTGTTCGATTACTTTCGTATGTTTATCGTTTGTTTTCATAATTGAACGGGAAATCATACTGCCAGCATGGCTTGTGTCCTACAGGGCCATCGACTCAGTAACCACCCCTAGGTGCACACGCTCTGGGCCTGCTGATGAAGGGGCTCCTGACCAGAGCGAAATCCAGGATTCAACTTTGCCGTTGGAGAAAATTGAGGAGCGTAAAGGGGGCCCTTAGGTCTTTTACTTCCCACGACTACTGGCTAATTTTCATACCTTTTTAACCAATAACAAGATGGGGGTTTTGGGCACTACATTTTACGACACACTACATTGACTTTTACTTTTAGGACAATGCTAGAAGAGATCGACTATGCCTCGTTTTTCCGCTAC